CTTCAGTCCCCGGCCCGAAATGAACACAGTACCTTTTCATTAGGTGGTGGCGGCCTGGAGCAGAAAGAGAGAGAGGGGGGGGGGACGTTCTTACTTTTCGTTTGGGATTGTTTATCACGGTGGCGGGGCGTGGTGGGGCCGAAATGGAGAGCCGACCTCTCGCTTTTGCGGCATCGTTGCTGCCCACCACTCTGCCGCGCCCCGCCACGCCACGCCACGCCGCGCCCCGGTTCCAGGCCAGCGAGCTCGCGCGGTGGGTTGGGGTGGAGGGAGGAACAGAGGGGGGTTATAAGTGGCTCCCTGCTCCCCGACCATCAGGACATTTTTCTAAGACGTCCATATGTTAAACATCAATTCTTTCTAAAACGAACCAGAATAAGAATCCAAATAAAAAATTTACCGACAAAAGCTGCGTGGAAAAGCGTCACTTCTGGCTGAGAATATTGCAGATTCCCGACCATTTTCAGTCGGCGCCGGATCGTGGCTCTACTACTACACCTGATAAGGTTACCCGGGCCGGGCCACAGCACCCGGGGGTGGCGGCCCCGGCGGCCCTTCCCCCCGCCCGACCCGCAGTCGATCATAATGCTCTTCCGCCAAATCAGCTGCCAGACGGCGGCAGGCCGAGTGTATCCGCGAGCGCGGTCCTCTCTGCCTTCTCCGCTTTATCCGCGGAGTGGGCGCGGCCCGCCTGGACATTGTCCAGAGCCTCTTAGCATACCGCGGACACAAGCAGAAAGCAGGGGCCGGACGATGTGGTGCAGCAGGGGCCCTCCTCCCCGCAGAGCTTCGTCATCTGCAGACACAGCGCGGCGGCCTTCGGTCAGTCGGAAGAAACGAACTACACACGTTACATTATCCCAAGCGAGAGTCATTCTTATACGCTGGAAAGTGTGTACAGCAGCAGCACACGATCGCGACGCTATACTTCTTCTTATCGGGGGCAGAATTCTGCTTCCACCTCTCTCCTACGGCGCCAGTCTTCTCAGAACGACCCGGCGGCGCCAGGGCGGGCGGATACTTAGGTGGACTCCCACCTGGGGAGGGTGGCTATAGAGAGGTTGGGGCGGGGCGGGGGGAAGCTGCTGGCGCACCTTTGCCGAGCTGCTTGCGGCTTGTGGCTCTTCGGAGACCGATACAGCGTTCAAACTAATTGACCACATCCCTTCGCCGGGCGGGCCCTCCTCTCTCGCAGGGGCGCGCGCGTCTCCGAAAACGGGGGAAGCAGCAGCACCCCGCCCCCTGTGCCCTCGCGTCGATACCTCTTCGCGGACGCGGCCCTTTGCACCTTTCACCATCCCGAGGTGTATATGCTCCGGGCCCTTCCGGGCTGCATCCGAAGCGGAGGAGGCGGGCCATACACAACCAGGTGAGGCTGATGAGCGTCGCGAGGCTCGCGGTGCGGAGACAGCCCTGGCGAGGCGGCACCGCCAAATTCAGCGCGTCCATCAGTGCGGATCGGACGCGGGAAGGTCAAGACGATCAAATGAATGCCGCGGTCCTTCATTAGGCCGCCCCGGGCGTCGTCGCCAGGGCGGCGGGAGCGGTCAGCGTCCTCGGCGCGGCGATTCTGAAAGGCAATCCTCCACCCTCGGGGCGAGGGGCTGCTGCTAGCTGCTGTTCTGACTTGCTTTCATCTCTGCGGTCCGGTCCTGCGACCGCCGAGGACGCAAAGTTCGTGCTCCGCCCGGCCCTCCTGGCGGCCGCCAGCCACTTAGCCGCCCCACCACTCAGGGGCGCAAGCAGGCGCCAGCAAACGCTTACACAAGGTGGCCCACCTGGACGGCGCCGTGGGCTGCCGAAGGGCGTCGTGGGCTGCCGAAGAGCGCCGTGGGCTGCCGAAGGGCGCCGTGGGCTGCCGATAAGGGCGCCTCGGAAGGCCGTTGATAACGCCATGCCGGCTGTTTCATTTGTCATAGCTTGTCCCTCAAAAACTTGAAAGCGAGAGAGAGGTAAGGATGATTGCGCTTCGCAAAGAAATACTCGACGCCGCTCCACCACGGAGAGATAACGGTAGGCTGCTCATTTGGGCTGAGAGACAGGGGAGGGGGGGGGCCTGAACTGGGCGGTGAAATGGAAAGGAAAAAAAATATCATGCGATCGTAAGGGGAGGAAAAGCTTTGGGGAGGGTTGAGATAAAAAAGGAGAAAATACGAGGCTATACTATATTGGATCAGCTTGAGGCGCTCTTGCTGCGGGCGCGGGCTCAACTGCGCGAGGGGGGCTATCAAATTAGCGCCAGGCAATACAACAGGTCAGCGATTCCGTATCAGGGGTGGCGGGGCGGGGCGCGGGGCGGGGCTAAAGCCCACCTAACTTGTGGCGCCCCGAAGGACGCTTAGGAGGGCGTCGTCGTCGTGGGATGTCACGCCGCGTCGCCCCCGCGCGCTAAGCACCTTGATACATCCGCGGCGGGGAGCTTGATTCGATTACACCCAGTGCGCGCTCGTCCACACACACACGCACGCACAACTCCACTAACAGCGACAGGGAAGCTTTGCGTTTATTTTGTGAAGAACATTTACTGCCCTTCGTTTTTCACCCTTGGTTTATATCTATTGATTGAATGCAGTACTACCTGCGCATGTTGTACGACTCACATACCTGGTGGCTGATTAACCCCACGCACGTCTGTAGTTAGACTGTACCGCACGCAGGGGTGCGGGCGGTACAGTCTAACTACAGAAGTGCGCGGGGTTAATCAGCCACCTGGTATACGCTCCCCACGCAGGTCACACCGAGTACTATACTACGTACTGACGGCGGAGATCGCGGCGCGCTGGGACGAAGCACCGTGATGGGGAAGGGATTGCACCGTATGCCCCTTCCATACCGCGTCGTATTTGAATACCTTTGATGTCGGGCTGAGAAGTCTTTTGCTGTGAAAGGTGGACCCACCGCGCCCCGCCCCCACCCGCGCGCCCCCTTTCTGCCATCCCCTCAGCAGCGCCCCTCTCTCTCTCCCTCCACGCCTTTCCTTTCCCGCCAAGAGCCTCTTAAGGCGGTATGGGTCTCGCTGTCTCCCTTCTCCGCGCACCCGGCTCTTAGCTCTAATAAAGGGTTATTACTGAAGTTAAGGGGACAGGCAACTTGTCTATTACTCTCGCTATAACATCATTTGGCACCCTATTCCCGCTCCATCACATCCATATCGCCCAGCAGCTCCCTGCCCTATATATGTGTGTGTGCAGAGCGGTGCGGGGTGGTTGGTGGGGGATTGATCAAGGCGTCCTCGACACCTCCCCTCCCTCATGTGCACAAAGATTATGTAAAGGGCGTGAGCGCCTCCCTGAGTGCAAAGCGGCCCCCGTGTGGAAGGGGAACGCCAATCAGACGACGGAACAGAACCAACTTCCCGACGAATTTATTTGGACCCCATATCTCCTTCGATACCCCCTTTCAATGTATACGAAGTAGTAGTTGTTGTTGTTTTTTGTTGCGTGAAAATAAAGTTTTTTCGGAACCTATCAGAAGGGCGGGTTGTCTATGTTGTCTCGCACTTCCTTTCCCCTGCTTATGTGCACGAGTTCCATTGGAACTCGTAAAGATACTAAGTAGGCACCGCTGGGGTTCATGGCAGTCCGAGAGGGAGTGGTGGGGGGTGGGGTCATTACGGGAAGAGCAACTAATAATGCCCATCATAACAACTTTCTATAGTACGAGGTACGAGGCGGCCCGAAACTCGGAACGGGGGAAGGCCCACTTCACTTGACTCCGTGTTCCCCACCTGAGCATGTAAATCGCTCAATGACTTTAGGAAGACTGAAGTGGAGTGTGCGTAAATAAGAGAAGAAATGCTCCCCCCCTTCGTCCCGAAAATGCGCATTTCATAGTACTCACATCAAACTCGGTTGAAATGGACTAGACTAAATTGTGTTGTTGTGTGCGCAATGTGCCCCAAGACCGAAAGAAGAATGTCCTTGCTTGGAGACCCGCACTGCAAAAAAAAAACAAAAAAAAACAACAAAAAACTATGACGTGATCAGACCACTAATTATTTTCCCGTATTGAAAGAACAGAACAATTTGTCACCGTACAAACACGGCACCAAACCTGGTACAGAGTGCAACAGTACGGGATTCCCGTGCAAAAAATGGGGTAGACCTATACGGTCTCTTTTGATGCTACGGTGGCATCGGGTGGCACCATACCAGGTGTGAACAATGGCACAAGCGCAAACGGCATGTACGGTCGTGCAAATGCTGCTACGTTCGAACGCACCCTCTAAGCTAGTTAAGCGGTAGCGGGTGAACAATAGTGTACATTTTTATAGGCGTCTGTGCGGTTTGGTTGCCCATTCGCTCGGTGCCCTCGTGCAATGAGGCTCCACACGGTGAGCGACGAAAGTTTTGTTAATCAGTTTTGCCAGATAAGTAGGCAATAAAAATTGTCCAAGACGATACACCCGCATTAATTAAGTGAGTGGTATGGACGACTGCCTATAAGGAAAATTCTACCTACACGGGAGATAAATCTCTGCCTGTTAGGCAGTCGTCGATGCCACATGTCACACAGGTGAGTCGTAGGCAATTTTTGCCTATTAATCGGGCGACACTGATTAATAATCCTTCCAACATGGATAAGGGGTTCAGCGATTGCATTTGCTGTGAGAGCGCCCACTGCAGAGTGATCGAACAGCGAATACGACCTTGCATCACATATGGGCCATAAGAGCGCACCATATATCTCACCCAAAGCAAGGCACCCGCCCCGTCCGTTCCACCCACAGCACGAGCGGTACCGGTGCGCCGGGTTCAATGCCACCTAGCGGCCGGAAAGTAGATCACTTGAGACACTCGATGTGGCCAACCTCCAAGTCATAACTGTTGTGTGGGAATAACACCTGATTCCGGCTTGTCTCATGTGCTTTTCAATGTGACGGACGAATGCAAGGTGAGCTATAACTTTTATTTTGCCTTTTTTCAGACCTCTCCCAGATTGGTCTGATTTTCAAAGATTGCGATTTAGTTCGCATTTTTTGTCGCGAACGTTGCTCAACTTGTTGTATAACTCCCACATAACGTGGCGGAACGTAGGAGTGGCTGTCATTCGCAACTAATTCATGCGACGTTTTTGATTATTTTCGCTCGAAACTGTAGATTTTAAAAGTAATTGATCTATTGCAAGCGGAAAAAATGTCGTCGTCTGGTGATTTTGGTAACCCTCTTCGGAAATTTAAACTAGTATTCCTTGGAGAGCAGAGCGGTAAGTCGGTGACATAACCCCGTATGTTTGTCGGTACCTTTCATAAACCTACAATGGAGCTGAAATATTATTGTTCTTTCCGTTTTGTTTTGAGGATGAATTTTCAAGCTTGTCTTAGCTCTATAATCTTGATCTCTGTTCCATTTCCTTTTTATTTAAACGTTAATCTTGCATCAGGTTAAGTATACATGAGGCTAGTGAACTTAGGAGTTTTGTTATGAAAGTGTTTGATCAGGCCGATTTATTTCACCTAAAAATAAAAGTATTCTGAATGACTTATTTAGTATCGTGCTTTATTGAGATTACCTCTGTATCAAACATATATCTGCTCTATCCGTGAAGAAATTACTTATACCTTAGTAAATATTTACTTCATAACAATGGATGAATGATTTCAGTTTATACTGTTTGTACCATACTTTTAAAAGTTTGTTTATTTGTTTGGTTTGTTCCTTTTTCAGTGGGAAAAACGTCATTAATTACAAGATTTATGTATGACAGTTTTGACAATACTTATCAGGTATGCAATGAGATTGTTGTGCCTAACCAATCCTGTGAACTGAGTCATCATCTTAGTCATAATTATATTTAAATACTGTTCTTTTAATTGTTTATTTTCAGGCTACAATAGGAATTGATTTCCTATCAAAAACTATGTACCTGGAAGACAGGACAGTAAGTATATTTGTCCGTTATATTTTGTTCTCGTATCATCAGTGTAACTTTCATACTGTACAATTTTTTTAGGTGAGATTGCAGTTATGGGATACTGCTGGGCAGGAGAGGTTCCGTTCTTTGATTCCTTCATACATCAGGGATTCAACTGTTGCTATTGTTGTCTATGATATTACAAGTACGTATTTCAGTGTGTACGAATTTGAGATAAGTACCAGATAACAGGTTTTTCTCAATGGTCATAATTAATTTTGATGTTATTGTTCTAGACGCCAATTCATTTCACCAAACCTCAAAGTGGATAGATGATGTAAGGACTGAGAGAGGCAGTGATGTGATTATTATGTTGGTTGGAAACAAGACGGACTTATCAGAAAAGAGACAAGTATCAACTGAAGAGGGAGAGCGCAAAGCCAAAGAGCTAAATGTTATGTTCATAGAGACCAGTGCTAAGGCCGGATACAATGTGAAACAGGTTAGCTATCCATTTCATCAATTTTGACGCAGCTCGAAGCAAAAACCTGAAAGCATTACAGAGTACAGGAACCCTGTGCAAAAAAGTTGTTGTTTTTTTTCCTGTCCTCTCTATTTTCCTCACATGTTTTATTTTACCTGTGCAGCTCTTCCGACGTGTGGCAGCAGCATTGCCTGGCATGGACTCAACTGAGAATAAGCCACCAGAAGACAGTATCCTTTATCTAAAATACATGTTTTTGGTGGTTAAAACACCTGTTCTTTTTCCCACTTTTGGTACATTCCAGCTCCTACTTTGCCTGCTGAGTCAATGGCAGATTCATTGATTGTTTTCTTTTTTGCTTATCTATGAGGCGCTTGCATCATGTGCACTTTTTTTCAATGATTAATAATCAATTTTACCAAGCTATTCTGATATTCAGCCGTTGAATTTGGCATATATCTCACTTTCGTAAACACTCATGTTTAAAGCAAAGGTTAGCTAATTTGCTGCATGTTGGTTGAAATGCTGCTCAGTTTCCTTACTCAATTTATATTGAATTTTTACTGTGTGATAGTTTGGATAGTAAAATTACATTTTAAATGTTACATTTGCATGAGTGTTTAGTTTGATATTATTGCAAAAGCATGGTAAGCTTCCAAATCCCTTATGAATACATACCACTCTGCAAATAAAAGTGTATGAAAATTTTATTTTTAATAGACATCTTATGCTTTTTAGTAGGCCATATTTTATGTCTTGATTGTAAATCATTTTGTAAGTTAAAGACTTTCAGGTTGGTGGCGAAATCTCTCCAATGAAGTGCATTGATCAGCAAGCAAAGAAACTTCTTCTTGGGGCAAATGCTACTTAAAAGCAAATTGTTGTCTGACTGGGTTATTATTACATTTCTGAAAAATCTGTTTTTCCATTCCTGTGAGTTGTGATTCTGAATTTCCAGTTAGCTGGTAGCTTCATGTCTCTAAAGGGGCTAATTTTATCTGAAGAAATCTTATCTTCACTCCATTTTAATGTTCTACATTCCTGGGTCATGTTCTTTACTATTTTTAAAGTTATCTTTGGTGTTTTTTGGGGCATTTTTTTTTTCCTGTTTCTGTAGTTTACTGATTTATTTGTTTTTGGTTTAGCATTGTGTGTTTTATGTCCTATGAATTCTTCTTTTTTTTTCCTTAACTCAATTTTTTTTTCTATTAGTGCAAGAAGTAGTGTTGAAAGACACCCCTAACGAACCCAGAAACCAGGATGGCGGCTGTGCATGCTGAATTCAAGGATATTTGCTACTGACAATTTAAATCTGACTGTCAAATTTATGTGTCTCTTCTGGCCCTTCCCTTTTCCCTGCTGGGTTTTTTATTTTTTTCATGTGTTTCATCCATGGAAAGTTGTTGTGCTTTTTATTGAGCAGCTTATTGTAGGAGTACATAGTAGGTTGTTTTCTTTCTTTTTAAAAAGATACTATTTATTTAATTCAGTTTTTAATGTTGGATGTTACATTTATAAATATATATCTATCTGATCTATGTATGTATAGATTCATATGCATGTCTGAATATTTCGCAAGATGTTTTGATGTTGTCTTTCCATACCAGTCCTGCTTATACTTTGAAAGTTTTTATTTTTCATTACATATTTCTTTTCTTACTTTCTAATGTATATATGCTGTGTTTTCATTATTTGACAAGAGAAGAAACAGTACAAGAATAAGTGACACTTATTGAAAAGTTAGCATGTGGTAGTAACAACTTTAATTATTGTGCATCAATAATTACCTAACAAATTAAACCAAAAATTGAAGATTGCGATACTTACCGCACAAATAGTAACAATGAAATGAACTTTTTTTGGAATAATTCTGCAACATTTGCTTTCTCAAAGGACAGAAATTTTTTGCAATGACGTAAATCAACGTCACTGGTCAAATTTGTGATATTGTAATGTTATTGTGATAAATTAATGTCGTTTGGGTTGCAAGATCTGCTCTCATCAGTCACTGAGCATGTGTTAAGCTGTGCTGTTAGTTATTTCATGCCTCAATTACCTTTGAGTGAATTTTGGAAGATGCTGTATTGTTTCGTAGACCTTGGTGCTAATCAGCTATATTAGTGTACTGATTTGTTCTGTTTTTTTCTTTGCAAGGCAATGCGTTATCATTTCATAATTCTGTATTGATGGAAGGCAGGCACATGCAAATTTATTGTGTTTCTGTTATGTGAAATGAGTTTGCACTAGAGCATGATGCTATATTGAAGTTCCTGTCTTTAGACAGATTTGCTACCTTATTTGCTATTAGATCAGTTGTTGCCATTCCTTAGTTAATTCAGAAATTTCATGTGTTATTTTTATGAACAAATAGTCTCAAGCATACATGCAGTTGATTAAGAGTATGAAATTTACACATGCATTGCATTAATCTAACTTTTAGTGTGAAGTTGTTGCTGTTTCTTTTAATTGCTGCTCATTTTAGTAGTTTTACTTCATAGCCCATTTTGTAAAAAAACTATATCACTATGACATTTCTGACAATCACATTTCTTCGGTCAAATGCAACAGTATATAATTATTGACACATTTTGTGACATGTTTCCGTATTGTGATGGTCAAAATTCCACTGTTCTGGGGGTAACTATTGGGCGCTGCCAGTTTGATGTGGTTTTCGTACTTGATGAAACAGGCTCCTTTGATAGGAAAGCTTTAAAGTTTAAGGAAAGAAAACCAAATCTTTTGTAAAATCTTTCTTTGCACAAGTTGGCAGTCCATAGCTCTTCAGGCGCAGTTACAAAAGAGTATCAGTCATATCCAATGAAATAAGCATTGTCCTAAATTTCCTTTTTCTGCTGATTAGATCAACCAAAGATATAAATAGTGCTATGAAAAAATTTGAGTTGCTTTAAATGGGAATGTGTCAGAAAATTGTGCCATCATCTGTTACAATTTTTTTCCTCTAGGTGTTGTCAGTGGTGTATTTGTTGATTGTGAGGTATCTTTTCTTGTTTGCTTTTTTTCTATCTCTTGCTGCATATCAAGATGGAAATGAACCATTAGTCTAACAGAGGTGTGTAATTAGACTGAAATTTGATTGCTGGATCTACTCGCTTATTTTCCCTGTCCCATTTGTACAATAACCTATGAGTATATGTAATCTAAGAATCTGTGATCTATATTGGTATTTTTTATGTGGTTTCAGTTTTCATTGCGTACTTAAGACTGGGAAGGTCTCTATAATCTAAATTTGTAGCTTACTTCATTCCAGTACTTTTCTTTAAAGTTTGTAGCTCCTTTTCCTGTTAAGCATACACATTTAAGTGGAAGTGAAGTCTTTACTAAGTTAAATTGTTGTTCATACTCAAGCCTAAGATTAAAAATCTTCTTTGATCTAATTTAATCTGAAAGGTTCAGGTTTTCCAGTATTTGGGTTGAGGAATGATCTTCTTAACATGAGCAACTTATCAAATTGCTATATTATTATTGTTCCGTTCAGGTTCTTATAGTAGTATGGTTTCTTGTTCTTTGATCAATGACAGCATAAATAAATCCTCAAAATATCACTAATTAAATGAATTTGTTGTAGGTTTTATGTATTACAAATTTACACATTTTATTGTAAGTCGATTTTGATCTTGATAAAATTCTAATTTTACAAGTTACCTAACTTCTTTTACAACTGTCAATCTCAAGTGTGGTGGCTTAACTTATTCCCTCTTAATTATTAAAAATGCTAACTTGGTCTGGATGTTGAATATTTTTCTACAAAAAGTATGATTTTCATTAAATTGCAGATTAATTTTAGTATTAGCCTTCTTGGGACTAAATTGTGTCTTTTTTGGGGCTGTACCAAACAATATTACTCGCTACCCCCTTAATAGTTTAAAACAATAAAACATGATGCCCACTGATTGTGAGCATGTGGTATGGCCAGGCCTTTGTGGTAAATATACTTATGTCAAATATTACAAGTTGAAATATAATATATGATAATTGGACCTAGTTCAGTGCTTGTTTGCATCCTTTTAAGTCTGGTTTTCACTCCGACTGCTTACGCATGAATAGATAGGAACAATTTTTTTCTTTGGTAAGTTACAGAATGTGTTTTGCATGTCATGTCAAGCATTGAGCTTTTAAAATACTGCACGTGAGAATACTGTTATTTTGTGGATCTGCTTTTCTATTCCTATGATCCTAGGAAACCCTTTTTATTTGTTGTTTCTTTCTTTTCATTTTTTAAAATTTAGTTTTGACAATCATGGTGTATTGACAATAGAAGAGAAGTGTTTTTAGAGATGTGCTGATACAATTCCAAATAAGCTCAGTTGCTTCCTGTTGAAACATTTTTCTTAACTCAAATTTGTACAGCTGTTGATCTACAGACACAAGCTCCCCAGCAAAATGAGCAACAAGATTCTGAAAGTGGCTGCATGTGTTGAGATTTTCTCCATCTGACTTTCACAAATTTTCAGCCAACTTCTACATACTTGATGATTATGGTGAGAAATGGCAATTATGGCAAAATATTTCTGTGTATGTTTTCTCTCATTTATCCTGTACCATGTATGTCATCTCGTAGGGGTGTCAGTATCCCTATGGCATTGTCCGCAGAGAATAATGTGTTACTTTCACTGCAGCTCAGATTTTTAAATTTTTTACCTCAGCCCAGTGAATCAAATGTTCAAATCATTTTAGCTGCCATTAGATCATCTCCTTAGATAATAATTTATCTTTCATCTGCTTTCTAAAAAATCACCGTTTAAGCAGATAGATGGTGACATTAGAAACTATATTATATATATCTCTATATGGAAAAATGAGAAACTGTGATTGGGTGATTTTTACCGTTTTGTATAGTAATTCATGCACAGTATTGTGCCCATTTGACATTATTTATTGTGTTCCCTTAGAAGCATGTGATTGTCATCTGAGATTAACAAATAACTCATTGTTTTATATTTCTCAATTAATGAGGAACCCTTTTCTTACTATCTAGATTGATCTACAGTGATCAAATAACTATACTGATGTTTTGCTGACTAATCACTCTGGACCAAATTCTTCTTTAAAAATATGAGTGTCATGTTGAATGGAACCATTCAATCTCTCACCAGACTGCCAGCACAGCAAAGCCAAATGATCTGTCTCTTTATCATGTATCTAATGACTCACATTGTTAGATGATGTGTCTTTTAGCTATGTGATTGTATGATTCTTATTGCACTTTCAAATTTATCTGCGTTAAACCAAAGTAGTCCAATTCAATAAGTAATGATAACTCAGGATTTATTGACAGTTACAAGAAGTGCTGGGGGAATACTTAAAAATGTTTAAGACAAGAAAGGTTACCTAAGCCTTACCATTAGATTGTGTGTAGTTTAAGTGGGTGGTGCAAGTACACCAAAAAATGGTCTAGAGAAAATGATATGCTCAAAGAAACTTAGAGCTCGTTTCTGCTTAACTTATGGGATCTTGTTGTTTCTTTATAAGGGTTCAATAATTGTTTTGTATGAAATTTTTCACCTATACTTTATACGGTGATTTGTTCATCCTTTCTTGCCTGTTAATGTATTGTGGTTTTTTGTGGCTGGACAGTCTGCTTAATTGCTATTAGGATTTAAGAATTTGGGATGATTTTGATTATGGCTAATAAAGACATGTGGAGTGGCAGCGGCTGTTCTGTCAATTCTATAAGGTTCCAGCTCTACTATATGCCCCTGCCCCTATTTGTAATTTTTAAACTTAAAATGTAAGCTTTGAATTTCAAAGAAGAAAATCTAAAATGGGAATAAGACTGTCATATTGTGGCATTTAAAAAAAATTGTTAGGCTTCTCTTACTGCAGATAACTCTTGTATAAGGAAATGTATGCTTTTCTCTTTTGTGCTTCAGTCTTAGTAAGTAACTAATAAATGAGGTACACGCAATACAAAATCTAAAATGCTCCTTACAGTTGCACATTAATAGTGCTTTTGAAACTGGATTGTATAAAGTTTGTTGTTGTGAATAAAGTGCTTTATTGCCAAAAAGTTTTGTATTTTCGTTTGTAATTTTCCCAGAAACTAACTCAAAGATTTGAAAGAATACAACAACAACTACATGTCATAGAGCGAAAGCTAAATAGAATCCTATACAGTAAAGAAGGTGGTCAAACGAAAGTTAACTTCAAAATTAGAGGGCAGAAGAATGGACAGTCTTGGAAACCTTGGTGAACGATGACATGCCGGCGAGTTCTCTTAATACTGAATAATTGCCACTTTTTCGAGAGACGAGTGCTGTTACTTTGAATTATTTATTTGTTGCACTAAGAATTGTTTTCTTGGCACCTCCTCTTATTTCTACACACATCTGTTTAAGTACCTCCGTTCATTCCTTGTTCAGTTGGCATAATGGGTCATTTCCTGCCGCTTCTGCTAAAGTGCAGCCTTACCATGACGAGAAACGGAAACAAAAATTAATTTGACCTTAATCCTATTGAGAAGCTTTGACCAATTTAACAACCTTTATTAATGCATGGACTATACTGATAAATTTGAGTTGGAAGTTCTTTCATCTTGAAAAAGTTGGGGCCTCCGAAAAAATTCCATTTGAATGTGTTGGTTGGTATTTGCAAGTAATCACTTCCTCCATTTCCGACTACCTCTCATCTCAGCCTTTGATCTGAAACTTTTGATCGGACAGGCGACATTCCGCCATTTTGTTTATTTTCCAGTGGTCCTACGGCACAGCGACTGACGTTCATCCAATATTCTCCGTTCATTGTCGTGCTGTGCGAAAGTGACTTTTTTGACAGATATATGGTTCCAGTGTTTCCCCTGGAAACAGGGGGTGTAGATATCAGCAGACATTGGGCGTTTCCTTAGTAAACACGTCAAAGTGACCGTGTCAGGTAAAAACTCACTCACTCCCGGAAAAGACAGTGCGGTCACACTCAATCTCAAGAAGTTAAAAGTTTTGGGCCAAAATCCTGTCGTTGCAATCATGAATCACGTCCACAACAAGCCTGCTCTAAACAATGACGTCGAAGATATGGAAACCCAAGACAGTAAGTTTTATTGTTCAGCCCTATATGCGGCGTCTGTCCGGCAAATTTTTTCTCTCTTTGTCAATTGATATTTTATCGATGTCAGTTATTTCTACTTTCCTTTTCACTCTCAATTTGGAAACAGATTTAATGTTAGTACATTAAGCTGTCTTAATTGTTTAATTTGCGAATACATCAAGGTGTACCCTAACCTATAGTGTTGTGCCTGCGTCGATAATGAGGCCGATTCGGAATGCATTGTTGTGGTGTAAATGCACCGGAGTGTTTTCATAATATTTTGACTTCATGTGAGTCTCTCGCTTGATCATAGGTTGGTTTTTCATAGACAACCAGTCATTTCCTGTTCCTGGAAACATAAATAAATTGTTCATCAGTCTTTGTCTGCATAGTCATCTTGTCAATTTTGAAACCAACTGATCTCTTTTTTTTAAATATAAAAATCTGTCAATTGTGGAAGAGTACTATTGTGTATAGGACTATGTTAAGGCCCAATTTTTAAATTATTTAACCAGGTAAAGTGCTTTTTTCAAAACTTTAAGTGAGGTTATGGTGTAATACCTAAATTTGGGGTTGAACTGATTGTTGTTTTGTTCAATTCAATGATCTCTCAAGTCTTGAACTCCATTTTTTCAAAGGAACTGGAGCACTCACTAACCCATGCAGTTTATTGATGCTAATGTACAGTCTGAATATTTAAAACTGCATGCCATAGTTTTTTTATTTTTTATATTTAACATCTGTCAGATCACTGGCACTCCATATTTAGTCAATTTATTGCAATGCAGTTTTCTTGTTCAGTCTTAAACCCTTAGATTTTATTATTTTCCTTAATTAAATTTCATGAACTGATCTTGACTCATCCTAATGTCAATTTACCAGTTGTTTTCCCTTTCATTTTTGTTGTCAAAGGTGACACTGGTGATGGTGAAACACAAGTTTCCAATGATCCATTTAAGAATGATGACTCTGGTGGAGGTGATATAATGGACGACAGTCCCATGCCTTTTGGTGAAAATCAAGATGGAAACGTAATACAAGATGTAGAAATGGAAGATGGTAAGCTTTCTAATAATTAATTATATTTATTTATCATTCATGTTATGATAGTCTGACCAATTTTCTTGCCTTATCTTGGCTTTTCAGATGACTCACGGTCAGAACTACGATTCCAATATGTTTTGAAGAATTTCAGTAAACTTAAGGCTCAAACCCTTTCAACTCCTTACTTTGTAAGAAACTTACCATGGAAGATCATGGTTATGCCTCGATACAACCAAAGTCTTGAGAGAACTCCAAGTCGAAGCTTGGGTTTCTTTTTGCAGGTAAGATCAATTGTTACAAATGTAACTGCTATCAAATGCATTGCCTAGTTCTCTTAGCTACTTAAAAATTGTGTTTTGGCATCTTGCAGTGCAATGGTGATTCAGAATCACCCTCTTGGAGCTGTTATGCAAGTGCTGAGCTAAGACTCCTGCCGCAGAAAGAAGGAGTGGAACCGTTCGCCCGAAGTAAGTTAATTCTTCACCCTAAATGGTTTTAACAATAATTTTCTTACTTTAACATTGTGTAAACCTTTTTTTCTTTTTTATAGAAATTCAGCATTTGTTCTACACAAAGGAAAATGATTGGGGCTTCAGTCATTTTATGACTTGGGAAGACATTCTTGACCCTGAGAAGGGCTTCATCAAGGATGATTCAATAATTTTAGAGGTATACCTTTTTTCTAGTCTTTCTGATATTTGAAGAGTTTTGTGTCTTCTAATGAATATTTTGAATTTAAGGTATTTGTTCAAGCTGATGCACCTCATGGAGTAAGCTGGGACTCAAAAAAGCATACAGGATACGTTGGCCTCAAGAACCAAGGTGCTACATGCTATATGAACTCCTTGCTCCAGACATTATTTTTCACTAACCAACTCAGAAAGGTTTGTTTTATTTTGACAAAGTTTCTATTTGCAGTTTTGCTTACCTTTAACTCATTTCTTTTCTAACCTAAAATTATTTTTATTAATTTCAGGCTGTATACAAGATGCCAACAGAAAGTGATGACTCCTCTAAAAGTGTAGCCTTAGCTTTGCAAAGAGTTTTTCATGAGCTGCAGTTTTTGGATAAACCTGTTGGTACCAAAAAGCTAACTAAATCATTTGGGTGGGAGACATTAGACTCATTCATGCAGCATGATGTACAGGAGTTCCTAAGGGTGTTGTTGGATAAATTAGAAAGCAAAATGAAAGGTACATGTGTGGAGGGAACTGTTCCAAAGCTATTTGAAGGCAAAATGATTTCCTTTATCAAATGCAAGGATATTGCATACACATCAAGCAGGCAGGAAACCTTTTATGATATTCAGCTCAATATCAAAGGGAAGCGGAATAGTAAGTTTGATTTCCTCCTTGTAGTTATGAGTGTATGCCCACAATATTGTATGTGCAAATCTAAAATAGACCCCAAAATTTTCCCATCTAATTGTTATGGCTTTTTCTGTAGTTGAGGAATCATTCCAAGATTATATCCGGACTGAATCTTTGGATGGAGACAACAGGTACGATGCTGGTGAGCATGGCCTACAAGATGCAGAGAAGGGTGTGATATTTGCTGCTTTTCCTCCTGTTCTGCATTTGCACCTTATGAGATTTCAGTACGATCCAATTACTGACAGCTCTGTCAAGTTTAATGACAGGTAATTTCAGTATTTCTCTATGTTTTGTTTGTTTGTATTTCTACAATATTTCCTTCAAATTTTTGTTTGAACTAATTTTGTTTTCAATGTTCAAAATCAGATTTGAGTTTTATGAGAAAATAAATTTGGACAAATACCTACAGCAACCAGAATCAACCAGTGCAGAATATATTCTGCATGCTGTATTGGTTCACAGTGGAGACAACCATGGTGGCCACTATGTTGTGTTCATCAATCCTAGAGGTGATGGGAAGGTTCGTATCTTTTTTTTTGTTTCTGTTTTACCTGTTTCTGTGAAGTATATGATCAGCAAATAAAGAGAGCTTTCCTTTTCTAGTGGTGCAAGTTTGATGATGATGTTGTGTCTCGCTGCACAAAGCAAGAAGCAGTTGATCACAATTATGGAGGCCATGATGAGGACATGAATATGACTGTAAAACATTGTACAAATGCGTACATGCTTGTGTATATTAGAAGTTCGGAGTTACATAATGTCCTTCAAGAAGTGACTGAGGAAGATATTCCTGAGGAGGTAATATTAGATACATATTTTGAAATTCCTTCTTCATGTTTTTGGTGCACTAAATAAATCTTTTACGCTACCTCTCCAGCTGGTGGAGCGCTTACAAGAAGAAAAGAGACTTGAACAAGTTCGAAGAAAGGAGAGGAACGAAGCCCATTTATACATGAGTATTAATGTTCTCTTAGAAGATAATTTTGAAGGACATCAAGGCAATGACCTTTATGACTCTGATCGGGCTCATTCTTACTACAGACAACTTAGAATGAAGAAAACTTCAACACTTCAAGACCTAATGGAACAGTTAGCATTTTCCATGGTAAGAATCCCTCAAGTGACATCCATCTCAGCCTCAGACATGTAAAACTATATTTCATTCCATTCTCTAACGTTCCTGTATTGTTTTATCAGAAATACCCAATAGAGCAAATTAGGCCTTGGCCATTCCAACAACGGTCCAATCAAACTTTCCGACCTTTTATGGCTGACATTGAAGGTGATGCCCATAAAACACTGGCTGAATTGGCTGAAAACCAGAATCCATGGAACATTTTTGTGGAAGTTGTAAACCCAGATTCTGGGCGTTCTGCCTTACCTCAGTTTGACAAAGATGCGGATGTGCTGCTATTTTTCAAGCTTTATGACCCTAAAGCTAAGCAGATTTACTATTGTGGTCATCACTATATGCCTGTGGCTTCTAAAGTCCGTAAGTGTCTTTAGACAACCGGCCCACCTAGTTCGTTATTTCCTTATTTCTTTGTTAATTCAGTTCGAGAATCTGATAATTTTTTGTTGCAGAGGATTTGCTACCACTTCTAAATGAGCGAGCCGGCTATGCGCCTGACACTGAGCTAATTTTATATGAGGAAATTAAGCCCAACATGGTTGAACGTATTGAAAATCTTAATGAATCCCTTGAAAAGGTAAAATAAGTTTTTTTTTTGTTTTTTTTAATATTCTAAGTTGTCACACATCTACATCAAATGAAGTCCACTTGATGTATTTTTTTTTCATTTGCCTAGGTTCTTGAAGAACTGATGGACGGAGATATAATTGTCTTCCAAAAAGAGGTTGACAATTCTTTTGACCTTCCTACTTGTCAGCACTACTTTAAGTAGGTGTTTATTTTGTTACCTGTGTAAGATTCTGGTTCCACATTATTAATTAAATTATCTTAAATCTTTCTCCAGGGATCTGTTTCACAGAGTTGATGTAACTTTCTGTGATAAAACAATTCCCAATGACCCTGGCTTTACTCTGAAGTTGTCACAGCGAATGAATTATGACCAACTGACAAAGGCAGTTGCAGACCGACTGGGATGTGACCCTTTCCAACTTCAAATGTTTAAGACTCAAAAGTAAGCATTAGGATTATGCAGCCATGAATTGTAGTGCTGTGTGATACTTAACATTTACACCTATAATTTGTTTGTACCTTCAGCTACAAAGACAGTCCAGGTGCTCCATTGCGTTGCAATTTTGAGGGCACCCTGAAAGACCTATTGAACAACTGCAAACCAAAAGGCCCAAGAAAAGTTTTTTATGAGGTTCTGAGTATTAAAGTCAGTGAACTTGAAAACAAAAGGCCGTTTAAGGTAGGATTGTTAGAAATTTAATCAATTTGCATGGACTTTTTGAAGTACAAGGAAAAGACAATGTGTCATACATACTTGAATTTTCATTGGCCTTTATTGAAAATATACAGGTCTTGTGGGTGACACCAAAGTTAAAGGAAGAAGAGTTCACTCTGTATCCCAATAAAAGTGGAACAGTAGCTGATTTGTTTGAAGAGATGAGAAAGCAAGTAGAGCTCTCACCAGAAATTGGCTCTGGCAAATTAAGGTATGTTCAGTCAACTCTTTGATTGGCTTACAGAAAAACAAAAACTTACAGAATCTTTTATAGTCTGGTGAAGGTGAATGCCGGCCATTATTTGTTTTGAGAAATCATGGTGGCTGAAACAGAACTGGAGCCTGCTTCATCGCGTTTCTTGCATGTTAAATCATAGGACCCAGTAATGGGCCGCAAGGAATGTGTTCAGTGAGATTTTGCCAATCAAGGCCTGGCTCCAGCTTCACTGGCTGTACAAATCTATCAACCTAACTTAAATCAACTCCAGTTCCCCTCTTCTTTTCTGTTCTTTTTTCCTTTTCCTTATTTTCATTGTTAAAATATTTATTCATTTCTGTTGGTTAGGCTTTCTGAGGTCAGCTGCAATAAAATAACTCCTGGTCCTAAAGAAGATACCTTGATAGAGACGCTATCTACTGGCAGTAATACTCACAAGGCCTACAGGTATGTCTTTAAAGCACGTTTTGCCCTTATTTATTTTGAGTGTGTGGGAATCATCAATCCTAAATTTCCAAAACAGGATAGAAGAAATTCCTAAAGATGAGTTAGTCCTGGCAGAAGATGAAATTCTTGTTTCTGTGGCTCATTTTCACAAAGTCATCTTCACAACCTTTGGTGTTCCATTTTTTGTTAAAGTTAAAAATGTGAGTACACAATTCCATTAATTGGTGAATAGGGTTATAACATTTGTAAATAAATAACTTCCATTGTATTTGCTTGAAATTTTCAGGGGGAGTTGTTTGCTAAGGTTAAAGAAAGAATATTGAAGAAGTTAGGAGGACAAGAAAAAGAATTTGAAAAGGTATCAACTTTATGTTATTTGTGTGCCTATACTTTCCTGTTTAATTAGAGAAACTAAATAATTATGTGTTGCCCAATATTTTCAGATTAAATTTGCTGTGGTTCTGAGGAATAAAGAAGTTGTGTTTGTTGATGAAAACGAATATACCTTCAACATTGAAGATTTCACTTATCAAGGCAAGTATTTATAGATTTCTTGAAGGTTTTAATCAACAGTGCCAGTCTGATCAATATTTGACTTTTCTTTGATTGTAATATTGCGTTATCCTCACCTTACAGCAGGTGGTCTCCAAAGCTGGATAGGTTTGGAACATGTGAATAAAGCCACAAGACGCTCCCGTTTCAATTATTTGGAGAAAGCCATCAAGATTTACAACTGATTGCAGAAGAGAATGAGAAGGAAGCTGCATCAGTCGATTGTTAGTCTTGTCAATGCAACCAATCTCTTCACACCTACAAGAGCAATAGCTCTGTTAAGACTGAAGATACTCAAGTTCATTAGCCTTGTGTGTGACTGGTTTCACTTGACAAGCAGTTTTTTTAATCTTATTTTTGAGTGCACTCACAATCAAGATAGGTGTGATAAATGACAGATCGCCATAATTTTAATCATTGTGTTTTATAGAGATGTCAATTTGATTTTCACATCTATAAACAATGAGGGTGAGTGACTAAGTAGGTAGTCCTGCATACTTTCAGAACAGCAATGTTTTTAATGTCAAAACTGTGTTCTGGTTTTCAGTTCACTTTGGTCTTATGTTCATAAACCAGTGCTTTTCTTCTCCTTGATGGGTTACCACTAAATCTGCACTTTTTTAATTTGTTGCAAGTGTAGTCAATTTGTTGTCCAAATCTATTATTGAATGAACTATTTATGCTTTGGAATTTCCTTGCAAATGGCTCAACTACCTATCCAACCCTTCCTATCTAGAGCTGATTGGGCTTTCATTCAAAGATGGTACAATCCAAGCAACTGTTGTTAAGAGGCCTTTAAATGTGTTGTTTGTAGATAACGTATGTACTCGTGAATTAATTTATTTGGAATGTGACATGCATGTTTGTGGACAGTCTCATTTATTTAACTTTTTAGTGTACATACAATGCTGATGTGCAGGAAAACTTAATATGGGCCTGATAATTAAATTAACTTGTATTGAATGAGTTACAGTTTTCTCAGAAGTACTGATAGACTTCTCTGCATTTTTGATAAAATCAAATTTGCAAAACTACAATGAGTGACTGTTACTTTAATGCATTTTTAGCCAAAGCTCTCCTTTATAATAATGATTTCAGGGCATACTTTGTATTTTGTCATAATGCAGTTGATTATGTGTTAAACTCCATAGGCCCGTAGATGTCATAAAAGCACCTGTCCTGAGAGCTGACAGGTGGCCAAAGACTGCTCTACCAGCTAACGCCCCCCTCGTACGTTTGTGCTATTTATCCTATACTGGTATTCTTAGCACTGTAAATAGTATGTATTCATTAAAGTAATTGCTCCGTTCTTCCTGTTGACTTGTTGTCCCACATTTTAAATAAAATGAAATCGTACTGAAGCACTGATGTATTGACAATGCTACCTGTTTGTTATTCCACAACAGTTGCCTTCCAGAAATGCTTATTCCATGTGACAAGTCCAATTACCAAAATTAGGAATCTTCTTTATTCCAATATTTTAGATCAATTTCAGTTCATAGTAAATATTTTTTACAGTACCTTACCAACTGGATTGTTCTATCCATAAACCAGAAATGTTCGATAAAATTATACACGGAGTATTTGCAATATTTTAGTAAATGTGTACTGTCTTCAGCACTGCATTAAGTAGAACACCTAAGGAGAATCGGTGACTTACGGATTTACTAATGCAACTCTTTTTAGCTAATATTTTACTGTGAATGACTAATGTCAAGAGATGTGCATTCTTTTTCCATATTCTTGTACCTTTATCTTGTTAATCTTCAGAACAGTTGCACCACCTCTCTTCAAATTGAAGTACCTTAATGACATGGTTATGAGTGCACATCTCTTGCAATGCTTTGCTATTGTTTTAATGTATATTTTGTAAATTTCTCACCAATCCCATATAAATAGTTTTGGGAGACCCACATGTATTTTGAGCAATATAACAATAACCAGTGCCTTTCGTTTCATGAGAAATGGTGGGATAAATCCTTTTTAAATGCAAAGTGGAATGCTTACTAGGAGTTGATTTTATTTCAATGGGAATATATGAATTATCAACTAAAACTCTTTGTTAGGAACGTAAACTTACGATTTTATATCTGGTTTTATTACTTAACACCATCCTCCATTTTTAAAAATTTCTGGATAGTATTTGGTCTAATAGAACCCATGTTTTTTCACTAATTATGAAAAAAATCACTTTTTTGAGATGTGATGATTCTGATTAGTACGGTAGTACTTGAATTAGAATGATGCCCTCGGAATTCTCGCAACTTTGTTTTTATACCAGTGGACATTTAATAAACTTCAATGATTTTTGAAGGTAAAATCAAATTTGTTACAGTTTGCATTGACTTTGAGCAATTCTTGAGGTAATTCAAATCAAATTTAAGGATTTACAGAGTAAATGTACCTCATTTCTTTGAATGCTATTGAGGGACTTCTCTCCCAATTATATGTCATCTGTAATAGGAAAATTTTAATAGATTGACAAAAATTTGTGATAGCTGTCTTCAAGGACACCATATGGTTATTTGTGTGATTTTCTGTTTAGGTAATTTTATGACAGGCAGCATTAGAGTTTAAAGGCTAGTGCTTTTAACAAGGTTGAGCGAAACGAGATTTTGTGAGCTCTTGCTGTAAGTCATTCATGTCTGTGAGCAACAGAAAATTTGTTTATGGCTGAAACTTGTGAAATAGTAGTTATTACTAAACCATCTGAACTGAGTGTGAGATGCAGTTCAATACCCTGTTGGGAACTGAGTCTTCTAACCCTAGGAAATGAGAGCAGTGCTGTAAAGGGACGGTATGAGACACTTAAGCTGAGTAATTTTTTTCATTTCATCCCAAGTCTCAGTGTTAGGGAACCGGGACCAACTCACACTCATAGCTCTTCTCCCAAGGAGCATTTTATTGTCATGAGTGTTTTTACTCTTCCACTGATGTGTAGTGGCTACAAATCATTTGAAAAACTCAGTCCATTTATGATTCTGTCTTGAATTTATCTTTGGGAACTAGCTGATATTGGTTGTATTGATTTACTGTTTGATCATCTAATTCTGCTTTATCATAGATGTGAAAGCTGGTAGGATTTCTTTTTACATCCCTTTAAATGAAATTGCAGTCTATTGATGATCTTTTTACCCCAAGAACTCTCAGTAGCATTGAGGAGAAACAAAATAGTAACTCCAATTATAACCTCTTGACTAAAGAGCACTACTGTTGGAATTCATTTCTTGTACACCTGTAATAATAACAATCAACTTACAGTCTATGATGCAGCTTATGTGATAGACAGCTATGGTGAATTTTGTGTTTAGAGTAAAGTGTATTCAATATTATTTAATGTGAAGCCAGAAGATTGTAAGATCATACAAGAAATTGGTTGAGATATGGAGGGAGATTTTCATTCTGGAAAATGATGTTAAAAAGAGTTATTGACTTTGTGATACATTGTTTGTAAATAATGACATTTGTACTGTACATACAGCCGATTTATTTGTATGAGTGAAATACAAAGAACTTAAAATCAATTCAAAGAATATTGGTTCCTTTTTAGGTAACTTACTGATAAACAATCACTGCGGACTGGTCCAAGAATTAGGGCTCACATGACGGCAAGACAGCTCTTAGCGCCCGTAATGCATGCTAAAATTATTCTCCAACGGGGTCCAAATCATGTAGCTCAAATCTTCAGTTATTTGGTTTCTCATTAACAACTGTCCAAGTTTTAAATACTAAGTTTTCTACTACCTATCTGATGTTGTTGATGCCATCAAAGTATCTTCTTAATTTGTAAAGATCAATTCATGGTATTACAGATCAATCAAAATGGTATCAGCAAACCTGGGCTGTCAGTGAATTCAAAATCTGAAATGATGGGTGACTGGTCTTATTGGGGAAGCACCTTCACATACACATATGTAGCAGCATCCTACAGGCAAGAGGTTGAAGAAATTCCACAACTACAACTTTAAAAAATTGTAACATTTTAATTTTTAACAAAAATATACACAGCAATTTTCATAAGCATAAGTTGTGCAGTACAAAATATGTTGTATCATCACAATTGAGTTGATAGCAATAAGTAGGAACAAGAATTTATTAGCAAGGCACAAATACTAATAATTAAGATTCATAATATTTCTTTGTTTAGGCTTTGAAACAGTTTTTCTTTTTCTGAAAAAATTGAATACTGAGTCCTGCTCATATACAACAATTTACCAAACGAACCAATCGAAAGGAAACATCATTTTGACAACAGATTATATAGTAATTTTAGAGTGGATTTCTGTTTTCTGCTTGATTGGACTATAATTGCACAATATCATCAAATTACAAGACAAAAAGAATCAATGTACACAATTGAGTAGAAGAAAATCTTTTGCCTTCCTGTAAAATTTGATTATTTTTTTATTCTGCAATGTTGTAAATTGTTTGGATTTCACGAAATAGGAAGAGTGGTAAGGCTTAGGAATCATACATATCTAAACTTCTTCAAGATCAAACCTATCTTCCTGTGAGGCAATGAGCGCATCAATATTGTAAAATGCAGCATGAAGACCAATGAGGAAGAATGATGCACCTGTTACAAAATGGGAGATACTTAGAAATTTTACATATTTTGAACATAAATAGATACGCCCATTACTTTCCAAATTACCAACTTACCAAATACCCAGAAGAGAGCTGCTCCAGCTCCAGCCAGGTAAAATACAGGCAGAGAGCAAATGGCAACTAGGGCATATTGTTGACCAAGAGGTAAATCTCTGCCAAGAATATTTATTTTCATTCCTTCCTTAGACCGGAGGTGAAGAAGATAGCCGACACCAGCACTTGCACAGACAGCAATTAGCAAGAGAGGTGATGTAATCCTGAGTAATATCAATTATAAATTATTTATAAATTAATAACAAGGTACAAAGCCAAGTATGGTGAGACTTAAAATACTCACAAACAATACAACACCAAACCAATGTATACAAATAAATAGTTGCTCTTAAAATATTCCACATTGGCAAGAATTCGTTTTGTCAACCTTGTTAGACTTGGAGGTTTACGAAAATTTGCTGAATTGAAGAATGTGATCCAGGGTCTTATATTTTCTCTTCTTTGTTGAACCCACTCTTGTACGACGGGGGCCCCAAAAGGCACAGAAGATGGAAGCTGAAACATTCTAGACAAAGACAAAGAGAGACATAGAAATTAAATGACAAAACCCATCAAATTTGAACAAACCAAAGGGGAAATTACTGTAATGATCTTACTTCAAAGCACTTGCAAATCCATCATCTTTCTGAGGCAAAATTGGTGACAGGTCACCAGTGACTCCTATTTCTACATGTTGAGCCATGGTTCAAGAAAAAGATTTGTTCTTAGTTAGAACAAGCAATATTTTTTCTTCTTAGGAGAGGTGGTATAGTCCCTGTGGTTCCTGAAAGAAAATGTAAACAAAAAGCATATGACATCAGATCCCGACTGCCACGTAAGTAAGTAACGCATTAACCTCCACCAAAGCAAGCAATTAACCTTCTCTAGACGTCAAACGGAAAATAAGTAGTAGAGGGGCACGCGGTGATCCTATCACATGTCGAACATAATAAAAGAAACAGATAATAGAAAATCAGGGCAAAGAATAACATCTGATAATAAACAAAGCAGCCATTTTGAATGTGAATAAGTTGAATTAAAACATACAGAGGGCAGTGGCAGTGACATTGTACGATTTCTATAAGGCAGTGTCATATTGTGTACAAAACACCGACACAAGAGAGCAAGAACAGGCCGCCCCTTTTCCAAGGGAATTCACTTGATATTAGCAAAATATTTACACCAGGATACTTAAGCATATTGTTCAACTGTTATTAAGAAATCATGTCTATTGAAATAGAATCTGCCGAGTAAGTAAATCCTTTTATTTAGTACTTCCGTGGGAGGGATTTTTGTTCATAACCTCTCCACATCAAGGAACTTTTACTAACGAAATGTCAAATTTGAGAAAACTTCTTGCCTGAACTTTCTTTTAAGAATCTAATCGAATCTGCGCTGTTCATGTGCGTTTCACGTCGATTAGAAAATGTTGCTCACAAATTTCTGTTATCTGCCCTCAGTGTGGTACGTTTGATTCAGCAATATCTCAAAGAGAGTAATCTCTTAAAAACTCTCCAAACACTACAGGTAAGGATTAATCTACTCGTCAAGATTCTTTACTTGCATGCTCTTTATATATCCAATTCTTTTCAATAGGCCTGTCGTTTATAAAATAACTATGTGTGTTTCAGGATGAGACTGGAGTGTCTTTGAATACAGTAGACAGTATTGATGGATTTGTCGCTGATATTAATAATGGTCATTGGGATACAGTTTTAAAGGCTATCCAGTCTTTAAAACTTCCAGACAAAAAATTGATTGACCTCTATGAACAGGTATTACTGAATTTGAATTGCCATCAAAAGTCATCTGTTGTCAGATACATATTGTATTTTCATCCACACCTTGCAGGTTGTATTGGAACTTATTGAGCTGCGAGAGCTTGGTGCTGCAAGATCTTTACTAAGACAGACTGATCCCATGATTGTAATGAAACAACAAGAACCAGAGAGATACATTCATCTTGAAAACTTACTAGCGAGGTCTTACTTTGATCCACGAGAAGCATATCCTGATGGCAGCACCAAGGAGAAGCGCCGAGCTGCCATTGCTCAAGCTTTATCTGGTGAAGTGTCAGTAGTCCCCTCATCTCGTTTGCTTGCTCTTCTCGGACAAGCATTGAAATGGCAACAGCATCAAGGACTTCTTCCCCCAGGTGAATAATCTATGATCAAATTAAGAAAAACATGGATACTTTTATCCTAAAGTGGAAGTTGTACTTAATAAATTTTTACATTAACTATATTCTTTATCTTCTTTCTCAGGAACAACCATAGATTTGTTTCGTGGTAAAGCTGCCATTAAAGAACAAGAAGATGAAAAGTACCCAACTCAGCTATCAAAACAGATCAAATTTGGTCAGAAATCTCATGTTGAATGTGCCCGCTTTTCTCCTGATGGCCAATATCTTGTTACTGGGTCTGTGGATGGTTTCATTGAGGTATGGAACTTCACCACAGGCAAAGTTCGTAAGGATTTGAAATATCAAGCACAGGTAATAATTGGAGCTAGTATGTCTTTGCCAGCAAACTATTCTATGTATTTTTGGTCTCATTACGGTCTTTCTTAACTGTTTCGCAGGACAACTTCATGATGATGGAAGAGGCTGTACTGTGCATGTCTTTCTCTAGAGATTCTGAAATGCTTGCATCTGGTTCACAAGATGGTAAAATCAAAGTATGGCGGATCCAAACAGGTCAGTGCCTACGTCGGTTTGAGAAGGCTCATTCCAAAGGCATTACGTGCCTGCAGTTTTCTAGGGACAACAGTCAAGTATTGTCTGCTTCTTTTGATACACACATCAGGTAAAAGTTTGAAAATGTTCTCATTGTACAGAATGTGTGTTGTTTTTGTGTATTTTTTTTCCTGCCTAGAAGTGAAATATAATTTTTTATTTCAGAATACATGGTTTGAAGTCAGGTAAACCTTTAAAAGAGTTCAGAGGTCATGCCTCTTTTGTAAATGAAGCTGTTTTCACACCAGATGGCCACAGTATTCTCAGGTACAAACTTTGTGATTCCTGGGAATTTTTCATCTTGTGTTTCTGAACTGTTCCTTTATCTAATCTTTATTCATTAGTGCGTCATCTGATGGAACAGTCAAATTATGGAATGTGAAAACAACTGAGTGCACCAATACGTTTACTTCTCTTGGAGCATCTGACATAGCTGTGAACAGCATTCATATTATGCCAAAAAATCCAGAACATTTTGTTATTTGTAATAGAACAAACACAGTTGTTATTATGAATATGCAAGGACAGGTATGCTGTGGTGAACTTTTAGAAAAAATTGATACATAACCAATGTTATGTAATAACTGTCAAAATTTTCTTCTAGATTGTACGGTCTTTCTCAAGTGGTAAAAGAGAGCATGGTGATTTTGTGTGTGCTGTGTTATCTCCTCGAGGTGACTGGATTTATTGTGTAGGAGAAGATCTAGTTTTGTACTGCTTCTCTGTACAATCAGGAAAACTGGAAAGAACACTTAATGTAAGTACTATCTACTATCTCCTTTGAGTGAAGTGCTCCTCTTTCTATTCATAGACCCAATATTGACATCATTATTATTTTTAGGTTCATGAAAAGGATGTTATTGGTGTAGCTCATCACCCTCATCAAAATCTGTTATGCACTTATAGTGAAGATGGTCTTTTGAGACTATGGAAACCTTAAGGTTAGTTGGATTTTTATTTTGTATATATCTTTATCTTGACCACTCACTTTTTCTAAAGGACAAAATAAGTACTGTCATAAAAGCTTAGTTAGGTATTCTTTTAATACATTTGATTTTCAGTTTACAATTTACAATTATATACAGTAATATAAACTTATGGGCTGAATGGTTTTGTGACTTGAAAAACCATAACAATTTGTACACATTGTCACACTATTTATAAAAATTTGTACAAACAACATCTTCAAATTTATCCAAAAAAAAAAACAACAAACAATAAAGTCTTACAATATAAAATTTACTAAAATAGTAATTACCCTCTACTTTGGAATGCACCAACAAGATCACACTCAAAAATGAGTTGGTAAACTTAAATTATCTATACTCTCAGTATGAGTAACTTCCCTGAGAATAAGTGTACAAATTCTCAGTCTAGCACTTTAGAATATTAAACAAAATCACAATGGTTTGGCAACTTATAACTAGCGAGAGAGAAAGACGTGAGAGAAGTCTTATTTTACTAAACTCTTTGTCAGGGTAGGCTCAACTTTGATAGTGGTAATAAAGAATTTATTTAAAATTTCTAGACTTCAGTATTTCATGGAAAAAGTCAGAAATATGGCATTTCACACAAATTAGGCGACTTTGTCAGAAACCTCTGCGTAGGATGCAGCTACATATTTTGATTTTGGGATTTCTGAAGGAAGGCATCTAAGACTGCCCGATTCAATAAATACTGAAGAGGTTGTCGTGCATCAAATGCTATGATCTTGCTTGGTATGAATTGATTTCAAAACATTATCACAATGTCTTAGAATTTCAAATAATGTGAGTTAGGATGTTGTCCCATCACACCATTTAAATTTTAAATGTAAAATAGCACCTCAAGTATGATTTATAAAAAAAATATAATTTAAGTGTAAGCTTTGTTCGTTACTTATTTTTAGAGCGAGACTCTTGCAAGTAACTACCAGACAGAATAAGGAACCGATGTCTCTGCTTTAAATTCTTGGCTCTTATGTGAGCAGAAGCAATCTCAACTGTGTAATTGGCAGGAAACCAGCCTTTCTCTCGGTCCCGTATACGTTCACCTTCATACCAACCTGCCGGAAAGATTTTTTTTATTTACACAATTATGCAATTTTATGAGCAATCCATTTACTGGAAAAGTACTCACCATCTTTAGTTTTACGTAAAACATTTACCACGTCTCCCACATCTAAAGATAGTTCATCAGGCTGCTGAGCTGCATATGGATGTTCTGACCTGACTTGTGGGCAGTCCCAAATTTCATACAACTGCTCATTTGGATTATCTGATTTTGGAGGTGATACAGCAGCCAGCCAACGCTCTCTATCAGATTCACTTCCACAAGATAAAACCTAATAATGGAAAAACATTAGTAGTTTGTGTAACGGCAACTCCAATTAAATTTGTAGTGCCCCTTAATAATTGAAACACACACCATTTCGACAGTCTTGGTTTCTTGATTTTGCAGCATAGTAAGTAAAACCAAATTGCGTCCTCCTGCTCCACCTTTAAGAGGAGGTTGCAGCTGCAACTGTTGTGGCTGAGGCAAGTCTTCCATGGATGACATCTGTACTAAATTTCTTGGGCAATAGTCCACAACACTATAGACATCTTCACTAAAAATAAAACAATTAGGAAGGTACTTTTAGTAATGTTTTAAAACTTTCATAAATGCAAGAAAATGGTAGGGTTGTTACCTCTTGCGTTTTGTGATCACAAGTATATCAGTGAACAGAAATAGATGCACAGTAATTTTATTGACTTTTCGGCCAAATGTTAGCTTAGCATCATCATTTCTCCAAATCATTTGAGTCAAAGCACCTGACTTCACAAGCCAACGAGCAGCAGAAATAATTGGTACAGGTTTAACAGTCTGAGAAAATTCAAGTTGACGACTAAGCAGCATCATTTCCTCATAGCGCTCCATTTTTCGAGCGCCTTCATTACACTCATTAACAACCTTTAAAAAAACGAATGTAATAGTAAAAAATCACAAGCTTTATTAGACTTTGAATAAGCTTTCTACTAATAAATATAAATAAATACCTTGTTAAGAGATGCGCATGCTTGTTGACAAGAGTTGTACTCATCATGTTCTGGAGTGAGGCGTTTCAGAACAGCATCTAATAGCAATCGAAGTCTGGTGATTCTTTGCATTGGAAGCATCAAGAACGAATGTAAAGATAAAGATTGGCACTCTGGTGAACTCTCTAGATGTAGCAATGCTTCTGAAAAGCGACTATCACCCTCTCTGTAAAAAGAACCAATCTTTGTAAAACCATGCAACCATAATTTTGTGACCTAATTAAGTATTAAAGTTTACCTCAGTTTTTTCAAAGTACGATCAAGATAAATCTGATTTGTGCAATACTTTGTGTAGACATTGAAATACTCGCTGGCATGACGTTTGACTATGTCACAGATTCCTTGGAGCATAATGCTGTCTTGCCAACAATGCTCCATATCTGCTAAGAATTTTTCCGACCGAGTACGAACTGGAAAATAAGATATTAAATTCCAGTGGTCATAGTTTTAGATTCTCACACACATTTTTGGTATTTTTAGAGACCAACAAGGTTGGTATGAAACACTTACCAGGATTGACATTGGAAAACAAAATACGACGGTCACCCTTCGAGAGTATAGACTCATCTCTGAACTCTACACTGTTCATGAAGTGTTTTTCTAAAACAATGAGAGACTTGACATAGGAGGCTTCTGATGTTATCAACTCGAATTTAGACTCTTGGAGTTTTTTCTCATGTGCACTTAACGAATCTGCAACATCATGTGCCAGCAAAATCCCACATAAATTAGAGAAATTCAGAATCATGTGTCAATCAGTATTTTACAAAAATGATATTAAAACATTACCTAAGACACCACTCTCCTTGACTTCTGGAATTTCACACCACAAAGTTCTATGTTTTCCTTCTCTTGGTCTAATAAGTTCCATCGCTGATGGGCGAGTTGTCTTAACAATACCATCAACTATCTCCTCATAGCCATCTGAATCTCCTTCAGCAGCTTCTTCTCGTCTCGCTTGTTCAAACACTGATGCATTGTAAAATTGGTAGAGAGGTTCATCACTAAATAATGGTCCAGTGTGCCCTGCAGAAGAATCACTGTAATCTGTGGTCTGGCTGGCATCTGAAATATGAAATATTGCATGTTAACCCTTGAGAACCTACTGTGCAGAAACAATTAATACAAAGATATTTGGCTGGCTCCAATCAAAGATGTAAAAAATTACCATGCTCTGATTGAGAACTATCATATGGACTTGAACTTGGTGGCGGTACATTATCCCACAACCCTGCCTCAGCATAAAGTGATGTATTAAGAGGATCCTCTTTCTGTGCCCTTTTTATAGAATCTGTGTGGTAAAGCATGTAAACGTTTACCGTCATGCACAAAAATAAAAAAGTAGATAGAGGAAAAACATCACTAAGATTACGTACCTAAATTAGAAGAGTCGAACAGTCCACATTCGGCATACCAGGATGAAGAGCTGGATTTTGTCTTGTCTCTATCTTTCTGTGGGCCATTTCTCTTAGGAACTAAAAAGGAATCACAGAAAACCATTATTAAAATACGATTCATTAGAGAGCAAACCCACAAGAAGTACCCTAAACTTACCTGGAGGTGGGGGAGGTGGAGGGGAATTTGGCCGCACAGCACCACTGTTTCTTCTTTCATTGATATAGTTTTGTTGACTAGTAGCTGATGGAGGTCGTGGTGGTAGTGGTAAGGGTAGAATGTTGGATGGAGGACCACTACGTTGACTTGCTGGGGATGCTGAGTCTGTATATGTTGAGTTAGAGTCCACCTGTGACACACTGTGGCACACAACATTTAGAGAATGACTTGCAAGTTTCAACCACATGAAAGTAAAAAATTAAGATGAAGTAAAAATCTTACCTTGATGATGATTCATTACCCACTACTAGCTCCTCAGTTAAATAGAAGGTTGATCCCAGTGAGGTTGATGTACTCTGGCTGCGCTTGAATTTGCTTTTGAAAGACCAGTATTTATTTCCAGCAAGCTGATTAGAAGACTGGCTTTTTCCCATAGGTGGCGTTCTTGGTGGAGAGCTTTCAGGTACAGCTTAACAAATGAGAGATATTGGAGTAGTTAAATTCCAAGGGGAAGGAAACATAGCTGATATAAATCAAATAATTGAATAGCTTACATAACGCAGCAGCTCCTCTAGGATCCACACTGCTTTTCCTACGCATTCGGCTGAGCTTGTTGCTAATATCATTTTTTCTAAGGGACCAGTTCTTTGCTATCTTTTGCATTTTTTTCCCAGCTGCTTCTTTGAAACGCATGACATGCACACCATATATATTTTCTCGGGGAGGTACATCTGGTAGTTTTCCATTTTGCAAATTGGAAATACCCTGGAAGTGATAGAATTTTTTTTTTAGAACAAGTATAATGCAATTTTTCTGACATATATATTAGCCTCTGCCAAAATACCGGCTCATGGTGAGGGTGAGATGTGTGATGACCCTCTTCATCTGAGTCAGAGTCAAACGAATCAATATCATCTATGGCATCTGGGTTCTCATAAAGAGACTCATATGGGTTTTCATTATCGGAATCTGTACTGACATCGCCTGTAACAGGAGAATAAAGTTAGGAGTGAAAAAATGTGAAAGGAATATCAATACAGGTGTTAATTAGTGTCAGATTATAGACATAATCCTATGCTGCAAGAATTTTATTCTGACCTTCTTTTTCCAAGAATAAGGAAACTTCTTGGAATTCCTGCTTTTCGTCAGAGAATAAGACAGTGCGAAGTGATACTGGCACATATTGTATTGAAGTGTTGTGCACGTGGCCATTGGATCTTGTGTATGAGTCTGATCCTGAATCGTATGGTGAATTCCATGTGAAGTATGTTGTAGAGGAAGATGAGACAAAAACTGAAAAGTATTGAGAACATTTCAGTATGCGTTGCATCAAGGTAGCTGCAGGGAAGAACAGCTGCTGGGCACTTATCTAGGGCTGAACATAATGCTTTCAATAATAATAATAACAAGAAAAATCTTCGTCAAAATAAATACTAAAAGGAGCTCAATTTCACCAACTTTCAGGGAAGTCCAATAGAGTCCCATGCGGTGCATATGGATTCCTAATACCAACAGGTGACTACTAGCGACACCTCACGCCTAACCTCCAAATCCCGTTTCTGCTCAGCCCAGCCCAGCCTCCTCGGCCCAGCTCGTTACCTTGGTCCGCGCAGGGTGGTCTAGGCCTTCGGTATGTCCGACCGAGCGATCGGTGCGAGCCATTCAAAGACCCCTGGTTCACATAACCACCACTGCTCATCTTTCTTCATTGTATCCAAGTGTATTTCAAATCACAAGCACTGCACAATGGGGGCACTTCGAGGCGGTCCTGGTCGCCGACGACGGCCGTGCGCACCGTCCCGGACACTGACACCTGTCACTCGCGGGGAACTCCACCACACGCATCACGCGCCCCGACGTCGCGCCCGACGCACGCCACGGGCGTGACGGGCGTGCGTTGTCCGTGCGGGCGCGAGCGCGCGCCAAAGTGCGGCGCGGGGGAAGGACAGCCGCGGGCGGGACGCGGGCGGGACTGACCGAAAGGACGCGGAATACGCGCGAGGCGAGAGCGACGACGGCAAAATCGGACGCGAACCCCGCCAAGCACTACGCGACGGCTGGCCGGGGTGTTGCTTGGGGAGAGAGAGGATGGTTGGCCCACAGTGCCGCGCCGCACCGCGTCGCGCTCGCTGCGCTGGGCCAGGCCAGGCCGCGCTGGAGGTAGGTGAGGTGAGGTTGCGACACGGAACCAGCCGACTCCAAGCAGGCCCGACTCCAGCAGCGGCAAACGGCAACGGGCCGAGCCGGGCCGCGGCGAGCCGGGCCCGGCAGAGCCAGCAGCAGCCAAGGTTGTTTTCAGAGCATGACAGGCGCCAGGCCGGCGGGGGCAGTGGGGGAAGGGCAGAGGAAAGGGAAGGGACGCGCCTACCCATACCATACCCGCGCACTCCACGGGCCTAACGACAACTTGCCGCCAAGACGGTGACCGCGCGCACTGATCGGGCGGCGGGGCCGACCCGACGCGTCCGACCGTCTGTGTCCGGCTGGTCTGTCCCAGTCTGTCCTCGCGCAGAAAACAAACGACCGGCTGACAGGAGCAGGCGCGGGCTCGCGGGCCTGCGGGGCAGGCGGGAGGAAGTTCCCACAACTTTCACAGTCCTGAGGTGCGAGCGGCACGGCTCAGCCCGTGCTCAGCCCAGCCGCGCCCGCGCTGCACTGCACCCACCAGGGAATGACCCACCCTTAAGCTCGGGCCCATACGCACGCAGGACCGCCAACAACGACGCAACCGGGAGGAGAATACATGCTGCAGCAGACGAATGAGTCGCAGCAAAGTTTAAGGCGCGCGGCTTGAGGAAGGGAATGCTGGGAGGAGAAGCCCACAGTAGTGAAACCATAGGACAAAAAATAATATTGACAAAGAAATTAATTGTCCTTTCGCGTTGTCATCTCGAGCTTTTCACCCTCTCGTCTCGGAGCAAGAAGCCCTTTTCGACAGAGCAGTGCCCCACGGTAGGACAAAGTAACGTACCTCAAGACTACTCACGCATCGTGGGCGTGACTCACACGACGCGGAGAAATGACAAACAACGATCGGTTCCATCACGACTTGGGGGTGGCGACACCGGCCTCTCCTCCTCTCTCTCTCTCTCTCTGCTGACTCACACCTGCAGCCCATTCTCCCCCCCCCCCTCCCCCGGCTGACCAGAGCACCCGGATCCGGACAGAGTAAGAAATAGCAATTCGTCGCTCCGACGGCCTCGAAGCGACCGATATAAACTTCCCGACGCGAAAAACGCGCCGCGTTGCTTCCGACCCACGACCACGCATTTCACATCGCCGCCGCCGGTGGGGCTTGCCCGAGCCCAGTAGACAGGGCGTGAGGGAGTCGGTGGTGCACCTCCGGCCTCCGGTGTGGTCCGGGCCGGAAACTGGACCAGTGACCGCGCTGCGATGTGCGGCGTGGTGTGGCGGGGCCGGGGCGAGGCAGGGCTGGGCGCGGAGGTTCGGTTGCACAAATCAGAGGCTGCTGCTGCTGGGCGTAGCGCAGTGCGCCCCGCCGGCCCCGCCCGGCGCGGTGCTGCCTGCCTGCCCGGCCTAGCCTAGCGTGCAAGGAGTGCAAGCGCGCAGGCAGCCGCGCGAGGCGGGCGGGGTGTGGAGCGAAGCAAAGTCTCGAATTTCTCTGCGCCCTATCCGCGCTGCAAGACGCTCCTCCTGCACCGCGGCACCGCGCCTATTCCGCTAAAATTCAGTCTTTCATCCTCAGCAGAGCTTTCACAGGCACTGCAACCGGCCAAATCTTGTCCGTCAATCGAAATCACACTGCCCTGATTCGAGTGCAACTTGAAAACGCAAGAACATTGCCTGCTTGTCCTCATGCGATTAGCTTTGTCCGCTATGCCTTATGTTCCGAACTGCCAGAGGAGTGTCTGTTCTATGGGTGTGGGTTTCCTTCCTTCTCCTCCTATGGCCCGCGCTGTTAATGGCTCTGTGGGAGTGACGGGGGATTACCCTTGCCACCACCACCGTGGGTACGGCACGGCACGTTGGCCTCCTGCCGGGGCCACGGGCGCTGCACCACCAGCTCGCACCCAGCCCGGCGGCCGCTTCAAGGCCGCTGGCTACTCGAACTGGATCAAATCGTCCTGGCCGCGCGTCACACCTGCCGTTCGGTATGCATCGGTGCCGAGAGCAGTGCGGAGCCCACGGGTGCGAGCTAGAGAGACGTACGATGGATAATTCACTACAAATTTTAGTGTTTTCTTTCCTTTTTTGATTTTTTCTAATTTTCATCCCTGTTTTTATTTTTGCTTTGATTTTTTTTTCTGGATTTTTTTTCTTTTATTTTGGGTGATGTGCTTTTTGGAGACGTTACTCCTCATATCTCGCATTTGTCTCAGGCCCATCGCATCCCACTGGGCCGCCGGCCGCGCCTGGCTTACAGCCCGATAGCCGACCACCGATACTTTGTATGGGCGATGGCTCCTCTTCACGGTGCATGGCCCGCGCCCGCGCAGCGCGCAGGGACATGTGCACCGCCCGGCGCGCGGCACACGCCCCCGCCCAAGCCCGCGTCGAGTAGTAGAGGATACCGCGCGTGTAACTGTCGACTCCATCGAAACCCGCGCGCGGGGGCACACACACACGCACATTCTCTCATTTCAAGCTGGCGGTGAGGCTGGCCCCCGCGGCCCGTCTTGGGTGCGCCTCGCGGTGTGTCCCGGTGCCCCGCCCCCCGCGCGCGCTGCTCCACCCCGCCACGCCACGCCGTGCCACGCAAGGCCGACCGGTGGTCTTCAGACCGTGGTGGTGGCGGTGAAGCGGGGCCCGTCCACAAAGCGAGCCGAGCAGACGGACGGGAGGGACGACGACGCCCATCCCATGGGAAGCGATCTGTATAATGGGCGCATCTCCCCCCGGCAGTGGGACCGGTAGCAGTGTCGCCTGTCGTCGCCGCCCGGAGGAACAGGGAGCATATCAGCCGCACTGATGGGACGGGGCGGGGTCGTTGGGTTGGGCGGGCATAGACTTTATGCCGCTGCTATGCTGCCCGCCCGGAGCGGAACGAGACAGCAATATGGCCCACCATGCCCGCCCCGCCTCGACAGGAAATATTCCAGAACGCCCTGAGCGCGCGGCTAGGGCTGCTGCCGCGGGCCGCGGCTCCCGCCCCACCCTCCGCCACGATAGCAGCTGCAGTCCGCGGCGCGGTTCGTCACCTGATGTCACCGCGAACGCAAGAGGCGGAGAGAAATTCAGCATCCCGCGCGGCAAAGTGCGGCGGAGGAAAGCCAACGCGCCGCCGCTGCCGCCGGGGACCACATCGGGACAATAACGACGACGACGTCCTGTGCAGCATCGGGGATGTGACACGCGCAGACCTCAGCCCAGCGCAGCTGGCAGCACCGGCAAGGACTGCTGAGAAAGAAAGCTGAGGACAGCTGAGGACGATACAGCCGAGGACAGTCTCGTATCGCTCACGGGACGATCAGCCTATCGGAGCCGCATCAGCGGCCCGCCGCGGCCCGCTCCACCCATCAGCCATGAGGCACAAAATGTCAAACGCTTCGTCGTCGTCGTCGTCGCCACGACGATCAACTCGATGAAGAAACTTACTCATTCCCTCGGGACGCGGGGAAGGAGGGTCCCGTCCCAACAAAGTCGCGTCATTCCCTCCTGTGGGAGCTGCCACCAAGCCGTCCCGTCCCATTCGACCGGGATGGGCAAGCAACGCTACTGCCGGGGCGGGGCGGGGCCGGGCGGCACAGATACGTGTGTGTGTGTATCTTTTTATCGTCTATTGCCTGGGAGTGGCGTTCGTACGGAGCGCTCGAGCGAGCGCGCATAGCGCCGCCGCCCCGCAGAGGCGCAGCAGCGCACTGTGCAGCACCACTATACCACCGCGCCAGAGCGCGCCGTTGCACTCGTACAAAACTACTCTCCCACAACAATAAAACGCTTTGGGGCCGTTGGATGTGGCGTCGTCCCAGGTGCTATGAAAGACCGCCTGCTTGGCAGGCCGTCCCGTAGGACACGCGTGCAAGCCGGGTTTGCCTATCAGCAAGGCGCTCGGCTGGGCAGGCCGTCCCGTAGGACACGCGTGC